GCTTGGGGCCACAGGCCCGCGCGCAAGGGGGGCATTTTTTAAAAATTATAAAAAAAAATAATAATTTCGGTGTTTTTACGACAACTTTTTTAGACTTGTTGTCGCAAAAAAATAAGCTTATTTGCGACGACAATTTGAAATGTCGTCGCAAAAAATGGATCATATCACGAGAAATTTACGACGATGTATTAGCGACGATTGTCGTCACAAAAAATGTTATTTGCGACGACATTTGGTTTTTGGCGATGACTTTTTCTCTCGTAAAAACCCCTTTTTCTTGTAGTGAATGACATGCCAAAATTTGAGTGTAAAAACGTGACTCGTGCAATCAAATTTCGGACTTTTGTTAAAAGTAATACTTTTGGTTACTCAATGTGTACACCAATTAATGTTCCGTGAATTTAAACCCACTAACTAGTTTCCTGTTTAGCAAATAAAGCAATACCCACGTTTTTAATTAGTTTGACCAATTCAAGAATGCTTTTTTGCTTGAAAACTTCAAGAATAATGATTTAGTGCATAGAATAACTTATACATATATCTTGTTTATACCACTATCTTATTTCAATGGATGAACTAAATAAGAAGAATAACTTTAGGAACACATCGATATTTATTGAAATAGAAATGTAATATTACATAATATTCGGTGATTACAATATTTTCAATTAATTATTATAGATTCATATGTCAACTTGAGCGTAACTAATTATGATACAAAGTTGTACCGAAGTTTTGTGCATATTTAATGGGTATATATATAAATTTGAACTAATAAAAAAAATTATGTGTTAATTTTTAGATTTTGCAGTAGGATAAAAAATTATACACAAATTTATTTGCAATATTTAATGGGTTAAAATCACTAACGGTGATAGGCAACTTTTTTTTTTAACAATCACATTTTATGTGATTGGATCTATATTTTTTTCACTATAGATTGTATCTGTTTTGTTAAATAAATACTTTATTTCGACTATGAAAAAAAAAAGTCCAACTCGCATGGCTCACGAGTGGATCCTAAAGGAACCCAACTCGAGTTCGATTATTTGTGGAACAATAATGCTCGAGTTTTAAGGCTCCGTTCTTTTCACTGATTCGAGTTTTGTTACAGTAAAAAACTTTCAAAAACAGTTACATTTAACTTTTTTACTATAGTAAAAAGCTCTCACACAACATCACATCTCAACTCAAATTTACAAACCGAACGGGCCATATTATAATGTTAATAGTCGACCAACTGATGTCGTAAGTTTCAAATTGTACAAATGAGTTTTCTATCAAATAAATTGTGCAAATGAATTCCAAATTGCCAAGTGCACAATCACGTGCTGTGTGAAAGCATCTGGTGACAAATTAATATAGCTTTGAATATCTTCTATTGCTAGTTGCTAATCTATATGTATGCAAGAAAAGAAGGAAAAAATCAAGAGCCTAACCCATTTAGGGGGGAAAAAAAAGATATATAGTTAGGGCAATAATCAAGTCGGTTTATGGTGAGTGCACAATTTTTGGGTATTTACACATTTGCTTCATGAATTTGTATAGTTTTAGCAACTTATTTTTTGAATTTTGAATTTTAATAAATTGTCAACTCAATTTATAAAATTATTGCAATATGTCATATTTTAACGATAATTATGTTAAATTAATGTATTAATTCGTCAACTTTTTTTTTCTTTTTTTGAAAGATATTCCTCAACTGTTCATCTCTTAAACAAATCTAATAAAAAGTTTTAAGCAAATTTATCATGGTGAAAAAAATTTTGAAGGGGATAAAATGCCAAATATAGTATTGTTGAGGGTCTAAAGTGCAATTTATCCAAAATCCTTCTAAAAAGACGGTGCTTGTACTTTTGTTTCATTGTACCAATCAAAAGTAACCCCCCAAAGTCCAACAATCTACTCACCTCCTTCGCGTCGGTCGATCTAAAGTTCATTTCCAACACCGTCTATTACCAACTAGCTTAGGTTTACTACAAATTAATAAATAACCGTCAAATAAATGGATAATTAGGTTTATTCCTCACCCCAGAAAATTAACCAAACCCAAAAAGAAAAAAAAAATAAAAAGATTTTCATTGAATGTTCACACAACTTTCTCTGACTCATAAAAATCTGTCCTTTTCACCGCCTTCTTTCTTTCTTTCTTTCTTTCTTTCTCTCTCTATAGCCTACTTAAATGTCTATCTCTCTCTCTCTCTATATATATATATATATATATATGCCTTTCACAATTCTACCCTAGTCGACTTGCATAATCTACCCTAGTCGACTTGCATAATAAATTCTTTTTTCAATTCTTTTTTGTTTTTGTACCTTGCAGATATTTTTATAAGAGATTACTTTTAACTTAAGGTGTTCCAAAACCGACTTTCTTCATTAGTGGCGGCGCAAAGTTTGAATGCATCCATATTCTTCATCTAAAACATATATCTCCCACCTATATCTATATCTATATATATATACGCGTTCGTTTCATCACAGAGCTTAATGGGTCATCCCTGATTTTCCAAAAAAAGAAAACAGAAGCTTTCACGTAAGGAAAACAAAGCTCCCATATTTGGATATAGATATATAGATATATATATATATATATGTGTATACTAAAGGTGGCAGACCCAAGAGATCGCAAGCGTAAGGAACATAATTATGATACCTATGAAGAAGCTTCAATGGCGGGTGGTAGTTTTGGGTTGATAAACAGAGAAGAAGAAATGAACGCCATGGTTTCTGCTCTGAGTCGTGTCGTTTCTGGGAATTTGCCTAAAAATTCTTATTCTGCTGATCATCAAGTCTCGGATTTCAGTGGCTCTGTTAATTCTTCTGATTTTCTGGGCTCCAACTTTGTTGGAATCAAGAGGGGAAGAGATCAAGACGAAGATTTTAGAGTATTTGGTGATCACCAAGTTTCCTCCAATCGTGTGTCGTCATCTTCTCTTTTAGGAGGTAATTGAGTTTTTTTTTTTTTTTTAAACAAATTGTTTTTGAACTTGGGTTTTTGTTTTTCTTTTGTTTTTTGATTTGGGTGTTTATCACAAATTGCTCTGTTTTCTCATTTGGAACGTGGGTCACAGCTCACATACATTCTCTCTCTCTCTCTCTCTCTCTCTCTCTCTCTCTCTCTGTTTTTTGTTTTTTTTGTTTGGTTTCATTTAAAAAATATTCCCACATGTCAACTTGGATAATTCTAAAGTAGGTATGAAAAATGTCTTATCGGTGACACTGGTTTAGTTGTGTAAATTATAAATTTAATATTTTAGTGTATAAAATATTTTTTAATTTAATATTATTTATTGTGTTAAATTTTTTATATATTATATTTTATAGTAAATTTTTAATTAAAATACAATATATGAGAAATTTAACATTTAATTATTATTAGTTGAAATGTTTATTTTTTTTTTATAAAATCATTACGAGTTTTGCATTTCTTAATTGCTTTAAGAGAATTTTAAAAATAAAAGTCTATTTTTACAACTTTTAAAGCATAATGATTATTAAAAAAATAGATTTAATATTTTAAATAATATTATACATTGAAAAAAATAAAAATAACATATATCATATTTTTTTATATTAAATATACAATTGACATTATTATTTATATCGTAAATGGTCTTATATTAAATTACAACTTTTTTAATAATGTTGTCTAATTGTTTAATGCTTTACTCTATTGTTATAAAATTCTCTTCGTTTTGCTCACCAAAAAGAGAGAAATCTTTTATACATTATTACACATCATTCTAGCTTACAAATATAAACCCACACTATTTTTTTTTTTTGTAAGTGCATCGTATTAGAGTTCAGCTATGTTCTCCATCAACTGTTCCATGACAATTTATTTTATTATTTAAGTACTTTTAATATTTAATACTTGTCACGTGGTCAAAATTTGAATTTAGATGAATTGTCAAAATAATATTAGGCGACAACATGCAGATCAAATTGCATGATTTGAGGCTAACCATTTTCATTTCTCACAATATTGAACAAACTACAGAAGGCTCAAACAACACATGGACGGCGGCGACGGCGACGGCAATGGTGGAGAACACGATGAGCAGTAGCACAATATTCCCAACTCAAACAATGTCATTCACTCCAACATATGAATACCATGACATGTCCCCACAGCAACAACAAGAACAAACAACTAGACCAAGAAAATACAGGGGAGTTAGGCAAAGGCCATGGGGCAAGTGGGCAGCAGAGATAAGAGACCCTTTCAAAGCCGCCAGAGTGTGGCTCGGCACATTCGACACCGCGGAGTCCGCCGCCCGGGCCTACGACGAAGCCGCCCTCCGTTTCCGCGGCAACAAGGCCAAGCTCAACTTCCCGGAGAACGTACGGATCCGGCCACCGCCGGTGAATTCTCCGGCGACCCACGTGGCAGTTTCCAATTCCTCAAATACCCTTTTGTCCATTTCCACTACTTCCAATCCCATCGTCCATTCCCAATCTCTCCAAAGTAGTAGTACTACAATGCCACTACAATATTCTAGTTATAATTCTCAGTTTGTTGGTTCTGAAACGGGGACGATGAGCTTGTATGACCAGATGTTTTCTTCACCACCAATGGTTGATATGCCGTTTTCTTCTTCGGCTACTCCTGAGAGCAGTACTAGTAATTATTCAGATTTTTCAGAGCAACAGCAATGGACGGGTTCTAGTCATTATAACACAAAAAATTCATCAGGTTGATTACAGAGAGAGAGAGAGAGAGAGAGAGATTGTTTTACTTGGCGATTATTATTTGTAATTTTTTTTTTCTCCCATAGTTTGTTGTGCTTATTGGAACATATATTTTTTTGGCTCAATTGTGAGTTTCAGTTATAAGGTTAGTTGATATTGGAATTTGATAAATTGAGGAACTTTTCGAAAAAGTGGAGGCGAAAAGAAAATTTGCTCTGTACCAAGTTGTGGAATGAGAATTCTTTGTACGAGAAAAATGACGATGTTTATTTTTTTCCCCCAAATTACTTTGTCAAATGAGAATTCTTAAGCCTCGTTCATTTCACCGATTTAAGTTTTCAATTTTAAATTTTTACAGTAAAAAACTCTCAGAAAATGTCACATCTAACTTTTTATGCTATAGGGAAAAACTCTCAAAAAATATCATATCTCAGTTCGAATTGAAAACTCGAATCTGCGAAATGAACGAGACCAGTATGAGAAAAATTACTTTGTCAATGTCCATTGATGTTTATTTTTTCCCCCAAATTACTTTGTCAATGTCCATGTTAGTTTATCAATTCATCCCAGAAGCTTAAGCGTAATCGTGTAGGTAAATTAATTGAAAAACTTAACACGTGAATATTTAAGCCTAAGATATATTAAAAACCCAACACACGATAACAATTTTAAATAGAGATAAAAAATATAATTACAAGAATTTAAATTCAGAACCTCCAACTCTAATATTATATTAATTTATTAATCCATTTAAAAAACTTAAATTATTAAGACGTTGACTAACAATAATTTTCTCCGTTCTTTCTTGAACTATAAAAGGTCAACCCAATCCGAAGCACTCCTTATTATTTTTTATGCAATATATTTTTTTTAATGTAATAATAACTGGGAATTTTTCTGGGCCAGAAACATGACGTTACATTCACATAATGTTACACTGATGATGACGTTGGAAATATGTATAACACCAAGAAATTTTAATTATCCGAAATATATTACTCATTTTACAATATTTATGTGATATTACATAGAGCCAAAGCCTAACTTCACAATATGTTAAATTTATTTATTCTTATCGTATAAATTAAGGCATCATTCATTTCACCGATTTGAGTTTTCAGTTATAGGTTTTTACAGTAAAAAATTCTCAAAAAATATCACATTTAATTTTTTTTACTATAATAAAAAGTTATTAAAAAATATCACATCTCAACTCGAATTAAAAACTCAAATCGACAAAGTGAATAATGTCTAAATTTAAAATTTTATTCGTTATAATATAGGACGGATCGAATTGGTCCTTGGTAAAGGATACAATAGTCAATACCCCAAACATATATAAATGTTTATTGTTAAAACCACAACCTATATATATATATATAATATTATAACAAAAGAGGGTCTTATAAAGATTCGTATTATTTGGAAAGTATCAAAGAGGGTATTTTATAAATTTATCATTGATTAATTTGAGCCACACAAACAAACAAACAAACAAGAACAAAGCAATAATGATAAAGAAGTAGAAGTAAACCCCGTCACCTGGTCTAAGAAACAAAGTTGGCCACTAGGATCATTTATCCGTTTACCAATAAAAATGTCAGATTTCAGAAGCATCCAGAGTTTTTGACTGGACCAGGTTCTCCGAATCACTCACTACTCTTTCAACTTTTGACCTGAAAATAGCCTTGATAAAGCTTTTTTATTTGTTTTTTTTTTTTTTAACACGAATACTGATAAAAAGAATTCAAACAGGAGAAAATGTAGTGCTATTTGTCTTAAAACCGGCGATCCTACAATCTCATAAATGCAATGTTTTTCGTATTTACATATAATATTGCTTGTTCTTACGTGTAATTTTTGTCATTTGTCCTGTCACAATTAATGATATATATTAGATTATGTTTATCAAATGTTGTATTAAAGTAAACACATAAATATAAACGATATTATATAAATATAAGAGTTTCACGCGTTTAATCGGTCCGGGTGATGGACTTAACACAATTCATATCATTTATTATCAAATACTAAAAAAAACCTGATATATGTAAAGCTTAGTTTATGGAATGAAATGTTTTAGCAAAGACGAGAACTGAAAAAGAGAAACCATGACATAAGACTCGTAATATGCTTGTAAATGTTTAGCGCGTTTGGAACTCGTTTTAAAATGATTTTATTTTTTATATAAAAATAAAAATGAAAATATTTTGGTAGTTTTATCAAGAGATTGTTTTCAGTATAAAAAAACTAATTAATGTCTATCTTTTTCTCTCTTTGTTCGAGAAAGGAGAAAACGAAAACGAAAAATAAAAGTCATTTTTTATTTCTCTCTCATTTTACATTAAATCAAAAAATCATTTTGATTTCTGTTTTTTTGTCTTTATTGTGCCAAATAACATTTTGAAAACATTTTCATTTTTTTTCTTAAAAAATGTGAAAAATAAAAACGAAATCAATTTTAAATACGACCGTTACTTCTGTATTTATACGGCAGTATTAATTAAAAATTGCGATGGTCATGACATGGTGATGCAAGAAAGTGGTTAATACTAAAAAAGAAAAGTTTCTCGCAGTTCTTATATTCTTTGGACATTTTTATTAGAGATCTCAACCATTTTTTTTTTAATTTTTATTTTCATTTTGCTTTAAGGGGAACAGAGTCCTCAACTTTTGACTTTTGAAAAAAATTTAATTTATCACTGAAGGTGAATATCTTATTAATTTCTTACTAGTTTGAATCAATATACCTAACATTGTAGGTTAAAAATGTGCAGTAATAATTACAGAGTAATATATAATGGAGCTATTAATAGTGATATTCTTTGAATTATGAGTGTTATGATATTTGGTCCCTCATTTTTTTTTTAATTTCTCTTAACTTTTTTCTTTTGTTTTAGTCTCTCATAGAGTACTAATTACATTCTTTGTGGATCACAGTTAAAAATTTTTCATATAAAGACTATATTAAATACAAAATGTGTTCGTTTTCAAGAACTTTTATCGAGTAGAACACTTTGCAAGTGACAGACAAATAATTAATTTTATTAAATTATGAAAATTCGTCATCAATTTTATGATTAGAGACTAAAATTGTTAAAAATAAATAAAATAAAAGATCTTGAGAGTAATCTGCTAAAAATATTCTAGCACTCAAATATCATAATGCTAATAGTTCATGAAGTAACGGGATTATTAGCACTTATCTTTTCTTTTCCTTCAAGATATAATACAAGATTTCGGGTGTAAATGGTTCGTTTAATTCGCTGATTCGAGTTGAGATGTGATTTTATGTGAGAGCTTTTTACTGTAGTAAAAAAGTTAAATGTAATTATTTTTTAAAAAAATTATTATAATAAAACTCAAATTTTAAACTTGAATCGATAAAATAAACATGACCTAAACTAACAAAATAAAGATGCCCAATTAATTTATGTCTTGAAAAAACGAGGTTGTTCTTTGCGTCTTAACAAAATATTCTACATTGGCAAGGAGACTTTTCCTTCACATTTATTTTGACCACTGACGCGGAAACACGGAAGCACAACGCTAAAAAACAAAAACAAAAAAAGACAGAGAGAGAGAGAATCTTAATTTTTATCTTTTATTTTAAATTAATATCTTTTTTCAATTAAATAACTATATTAATAAAAAAAATATTAATCAATAATAAAGAATAAAAATCTAGACTCGTATACTTTTTAAAGGGTAAGTTCAATAATTTTTTTCTAATTAAATAATAAGATATTATTCATTGAAAAAAATTTAAAAAACCAGCGGCCTATTTTACAATCACTGGATGATAATCCAATATAGACCGTTACAAATTTTTGATACTTTTTATCAAGTAAGACATGAGGACAAAAGCTTTTAACGTTATAGATAGATCAAATGATGAAAAATACGTTGCAAGGTACATATCAAAATTACGGGTTGCAAGGAAAAGTCTCTACATCCTAACAACATAAACACTACCGGCCCACGACTGTTTAGCACCGCGATTAATAAAAAGTGAGAATCATATTACGAAACTCACTTTTTATTTGTGCGTGATGTTTAACATCACCGGTATCTTATAACACTCTGAAATGTGAACGTCCGCAAAGACGTGCGTCACTAGTGATTAGCATGGGCATGTCACTGTCTCACATGAAACGCATGCACTAGAAGTCGACCTTGCAGGTGAACTAATTGTCAAACATTTTTAAATGCTAATGGGACGTCAATCGACAATGGACAGCAATAAAGCTCCTTGTTTTCCATAAACTTGTTTGTTCATAAAAAAAGTCTAAAGCCCTAAACCAATTCTTGGTTAAGAACCTTCAACGATTTGGCCGACCTATGTAAACAGACAGTAAACAGCGGCAATCTTATTCTCCAACGTAAAATACAGACTTGGTCTATGTTTATATTAGCCGACATACCTCGATTAGTGTTGCCAGTATAAATCACAAATGTTGTTCATCCACCTTTTTAGTCTTTGGTGAAAGAATTTTCGCTAACGACAATCTCGCAACCTACTTTTGTTATTAGCCCCAACAACCATCAAATGCCGACCTTGTTTTGAAAATTCTGTTAATGACAATGGCAAAAACCTACGTTTGTTTTTATCTTTTTTTTTTTTTTTTCCTCTTCCTATAATAAGAAGTCCGAGAAGGGGACCAGTGCTAGCACACCTACTGAGGGTTACCAAAGACGCTGATAAAAATGTTCGCTAATGGCCGAGCGCCGGTCCTATATCTCGAGGAGTATCATGTCACCTCAGCCGTTTACTTACCAACTATCACAATTTGATCAACATGAAACTCATGAATCCTAATGTAGAATCCGCATCAATGCAATTCTAACGGCCAAGAATAGGACAATAGCCATCATTGACTGGGCTCGCTGTGATTTGCCTATTATAACAGTAAATAAACACCCCAAGTCCTATGGCTTAATTTCCCAAGAACAAAGCAAAAGAAACGCACAATCTGAATTTATATGCAATTGTCGGTTTGAAAATCATTTAGCGAATCAAAAGCGAAATAATTAGAAGACAAAGGTTTGTGAGGCATTCATATTGAGCATAAGCAACCCTGAACAAGATTTGATTAAGATTTGAAATAAACGAGTAAAGCAATCAATTTCTTTCCACAGATAAAAATGAGCCCGTTTAGGTCTTTCCACGAATAAACCATGTATCCGGCGGTATACTACAATTTTTTGCTAAGATGTGCCTGATAATCAAACTTAAAACTTGACAAATGCCTGCCTGACTAACCCAGTCAGTTTGTTTAGATGATAGTTCCGATCATATAAATTTCAGGCCAAAAACGAAAAAAGACCAAGGCCGCTCAACCTGCAAACCTGGATTAACCAGTTCCTCCAAGTTCCTCAAGCCTTTAGGGCGGCTTTGTGAACCATAGTTTCCTTGTGTATTTGATGGCAACTCTTCTCAACAAGATCAAGCAATTTCTCCAAGTTTGCAGACCATGAGTTGAGGATGTCATTGCTATCCTTCGCTATTTGGAAACTAACGATGCCCATTGGCCTGTCAATCTTTGCAATCAGTGCCTTGGAAACAACCATCTCTGAAAGATGCTTCTCAGCCTCCTGCATTGAAAGAGAATGTAAAGTGTACGAGTTAAGGTGGAGACCGACGCAGAATTCAAAACACAACAGCAGGATAGTCGATTTGAGAAGTATGTGAAAGAGACTTGAGCACCAGATGTAAGAACAAAGAAGCCACCAAAAACAAATATGGTTGAACCTCAAGGCCCCTATAATGCCCTTTTCGGATAAAGCAACTCATTGTCGGTTAAAGCTTCAGACTGATAAACTTAAATTATAATAGCTAACTAACCTGAATGCTGAGACATAACAGCTCTGCAAGTCTCTTCAGTGTAATCCTTGAGTAATACTTTGAAACAACAAGAATATTCTGCGGAAAAAAAAAGAGATAATGTAAGCGAACAGGTAATTGCATACTCGGCCATATCTCAAGTGAAGGCGAAAACAAACATGTTCAATTATCCTCTGTTTTAGATCTTCAGCTGCTTTGTCACCCAAAGAACCTCCAAGCAAGTTCTTCTCATTGTCAAATTCTTCCTTGTACATATTCCACAGAGCTGTCCATTGTATGACCTCCATGGTGACCAGTTGCTTCAACAGCAATCTACAGAGAACAAAAGCAGGCGACATAATTCAAGCTAAGGGGAAAAAATGCCAAATATTTTTTGGATTAACAATGCCAGGCTTCATATGTTGTACTAATTGCATAAATAAACATGTGAATTGGGGATCAATTGTGCAATTATCATAGCTGGCAGAACCATACTTGAAATTTGGAAGCTCAGAGAGATTCTTGTCCTCCAAGGTGGAATTAAGAAGGCTCGATTGCATCGGATCATGTGGTGCGAGAACCAAATGCCAACATATTTTCCTTAAAACCTACAAACAGAGAATTTTCAGACATTCAAAAGAATTCATGTAAGCACAAAAAGTTGAATAAGAGTAAGAATTTACCGGTGTCCAGTGGGACGGGTTTTCTTTGACAGAAGGAATACTGTATATCGCCTTGTAGCAACGGCAAATTTCAAGGTAATCATTATTGTGGGAATAATATCTGACGGGAAAAGCAATAATCAGTATTCGATAATTCATTTCTTTTTGCAAACTAAGCACACACACCGCAAGCAATCTAGACGGGCTTGGATTAAGATAAAAGCATACAGGGACCAACATCATCAGTACAAACTAAAAATAAAATAAAAGGTTTGTGCGCAAACACCTCAACATCAAACGACAACATTGACACGGTCATAGATCACCCGGCATAAATTAAAATTATTGCTCGTGAAAATTTTACGAGTCAGTTACTTCATGCGAGTAACCCTAGATATGAACCCCAAAGGAAGAAGAATGTTGCAACATATAAATCTTAACCATTAAGAAGCTCGCAAATGTAAAGGACCTATAGACAACCAATCCCTAATCTGAAAACCAACACCACTCAGATTTATGGAACTTCAAGAAACCTCCATAAGAGAATTGATAGCTCCAAAACACCATCCAAAAAATTGCAGAAAACACGAGAAGAAAACACTAAATTGGGAAAAATGTATGCATGTACCTTATCATCAATTCATAATAGATCCTCTTCAACTCCAAGAGTGAAGGAATATCAGCAGGAGCCTCCTCAACGAGAGCATCACCTTCTTTAGGCTTTTTCTTCTCTTTTGAGGGATCAACTTCAAAAACCCTTGGACTAATCTTCCTCGAGAGGATTTGTGCGCGTATGTAATCTTGGCGATCTAAGCACAAACGGACCTATTTTTTTTATTTAGTGTAAGAACAAATTAGCATCACAATTATGCCCCAAAAAAATGAACATAGTAAATAATAGAGCGTCAACAAAGTAATTACTTATCAGAAAACTGAATCCCATACTTGTTCAAGAATGAAAGCAATTTTCTCAGTTTTTGCCATAGCACCAAAAGTTTCAACCTGCAAATCTTAACCGTCAAAAAGGAAACCGAAAAAAGCAATTAAAATGGGAATTGGGGGCTGTCATCAAAAGAAAACTCCTGCACTAACCGCTATTTCTTGCATCAAATCAGCAGCTTCGGCTATAAGCCCTTGTTCTTCCTTGATTTTTGCAAGTTTCTTAATCAATCTGGCTCTCTCAATCTCAACATATATCTAAACACAGAAACAATAAAACACAAAAATTATTATAAAAACTAAGAAATGGAGGTTGAAAACTAAAACTTATAAGTAGATATTTACCTTTCCAGCAGAAACGTTATTTAGTGATTTAATAAGCTCTATACGAGTTTCCAGATCAGGAGTCTCATCAATATACTGCATTGCTTGCTGGACCATTGCAGTTACAGCCTGTACAAAACAGACATCTCCATGTAATGGCATTGAACATATACATTTCTTAAAAATAAGCAAAAGGATGTGAACCATGCTTCTTAACATGCTAATGAAATTAACTAAAAGAACCTTCTGATTAGGAAGAAATGAGTGAGCATGGAGTAATATAAATTATATAATTACTTAGTGCAAGTAAGAATATTTTAAGATGCCAAAAAAAAATCACAACATGTTACGTGTAGAGCAAATCATACACCAACAAGGTTAAAATTTTCCAACACCCAATCAATTTAAAAACACCCAGATGCAGGAAAAGGTTTATACGAATAGATATAAGTGCATAATTGTATAGTCAAGAGTCGACTAGTATCTCTGTGCATACAATTTTTACAAGGTTCAAGTAAAATGAGTTTGCAATATTTTGTTCTTCAAACCCTAAACAAGACAACGAGTCCACATAATTGTCCCACAGCTACTTCCCAGAATGCTAAGAGAAGACGCATACTTCCCTTGCATGTATTACGCTTAAATATACACAAACATACAGCAGTGAGAGGAAAAACTCCGAACTAGTATCAGTGTTGATAGCATTTTCTTTGAGCACACGAACAAATACAATAAGAAACCCTATGCCAATCTCTTAACATGGTCATAACTCAGAAATTTCCCAAACAAATACACTGCTACTTCCCAGAATGCTAAGAGAAGACGCATACTTCCCTTGCATGTATTACGCTTAAATATACACAAACATACAGCAGTGATAGGAAAAACTCCGAACTAGTATCAGTGTTGATAGCATTTTCTTTGAGCACACGAACAAATACAATAAGAAACCCTACGCCAATCTCTTAACATGGTCATAACTCAGAAATTTCCCAAACAAATACACAAATTTAACATAATAAAACAGGACAATCATGTAGCAGTAACCACTCAAACAACTCGGAAGAACTAGGATACTTAAATATTAGGTACCATTCCTGCCTGCATAAAAAAAAACTCTGTAATTCCGCATCGACCGGAAACTACAATTCTAGAACTCAATTGAAACACTTAAAAGTTCAACCCATTTAAGAAAAGTCTCTAAAAACACAAAGTTACTCCACCTATAACACTACTATATGTTCCATTTCAATGAAGTACCTGCTTAAGTTGACCCCGGCGTTTGGACAAGACAACAATCTGCTCATTGAGGGTCTTCCATGCGCGTGCTTCAAAGCAGAGCTGAAGAATCTCAGTGACGGCCTTCTTTGTGCCCGCCACATCTCCGGCAAGCCTCATTTGCTTCTCCACATTCAGCAATTTCTCTACCGACGCCTCCAAATTGCCTCCTCCTTCCTGAAAGTTTCACAAATTCCAAGAAAGAAAACAGCTTCAAACTTCAATTCTACTCTAAATTCGAACACAAAACTCCAAAACGCAGAGAGATTAAAAAATTCTTGAAAAATGAATCTTACCATTTTTCACTTCAATTCAAGGATCCGGGCCGTTAGATCGATAATTGGATATAAACCCTAGCAGAGAGCGAGCATGTCAGAGTGGAAAACGAAACCCTAAGAAAGAGAATGACAAAAATTTCTTCAAAATTCTCTCTCTTCACACAGAGTTAAATGCCGAGAGAACAATAAATTCAGTTTCTCTACACAAGTAGCACCAAACAACCAGTACAGAAACAGTGATAAATTCACAAGATCTTCTCTCTCGCGGATGAACAAAGGGTGAATACTTCGACGAGAAGACGGATCAGAAAGCGAGAGAGAGTACTGGAGAAAAAAGAAGATTCGAGAATACCTTCTGAGATCGAGATTCGACGGAGTTCGAGAGCAGGTCGTCAATGGCGGTTTGGATCCAATTGAGGGTTTAGAGATTGAGGGAGATGGAGGCCGTGAACTCGTATAGTTTTAACTTTTCCGCTTCAACAAGAAATACAAATTCTTTTTCATTAAACGACATCGAATTTCTTCTAAACGACAACCCATGCACGACCAGGCCCAACATAAGGCCGAGTGTAATGGGCCTGGGCCGATCGTCAGTGAAAAGTGTTCTGTTGAGTTTTTTTTTTTTTTTTTTTAATTAAAGTGAG